AGTATATTAAATAAAATTAAAGATGTTTTAAAAAAAAAATAGACAAAAAAAAAATTTTTTTTTTAAATATTTTATTTTGTTTAATTTGATTGGTTGACCTGATGTTGACCTGAAAATTTTCTGCCCGACCTGGATTTTTCAGGTTGGGTCAGGTTGGGTCACAGGTTGACCTGACTTGATTCAGAGCTCTAATTAATTCTGAAACTGGTACATTTGAATTTAAATTTAGATAATGTGAACATTTGAAATTTAATTAAAACCAGTTTCTGAGTTTAATTCTAGAACCAGTTTATCAAAATGAACTGGTTATATAAAAGTTCTAAGATCAGAACCTAAAATTGAAAGAACTAAGCTATTAAATCAGATTTAAACTAGTTCATTGTAAAACTATCATATTCCTAATTTTAGATGGTATTTTAAGATATTTTGACACAATCTCTACATAAATTTTCTCTTTTATATTTTGAATATATTATAATACTTTATACTAGCAAAAAATATTATATCAAATATGATCTTTATTACATCATTAAAGCAAATGTATTTTAAGATTATATATATATTATATATATTTTTTCCATTTTTATTATGTACTAATTCTTTGACATAACTAATATCAAGTCTTTTAGTTTCTTTTTTGCAATATGAATTTTATGTATTTTTTTTTATATCACTAATTTAGTAAGTCTTAGAATAAACTCCAAAGTAATGATACACATTTATTTTAATAAGAATTAGAAAATCAAATTCTACTTTTTTTTATTTGCAAGATTTGAGCAAATTCAAGCCCAAGTTTTTTAATTCAAATTTTTATAATAGAGATAAATTATTATTAATATTCAAAATTAGATACTAATATCAATCAAGTGAAGAGAATCTTAAAAATTAGTTTTCTTTTTATCCATCTAATTTGAAATTTTATTTTTATTATTTTAGTGATAATTTATAAAAAATAGTTAATATAGAATAATAGAAGCTTTGCAATAGAAAGGGAGGAAATTCTAAAAAAATTAAAATTTTACTTTCTAAACTAATTATGATTTTTTTTGTAAAATAAGTCCAGATTTAACATTAACTCAAAAAAAAAATTTTTAGAGTTTCCTCCCTTTTTATTGCAAAGCTTCTATATTTTTATTAAAATTGGAATTAAACATATTTTTATATTATTGTATTTATTTATGCTTAAAGGTCGCTTAATATTATTAACTATAAATAGTATTAGTGATCAATGAAAATTAATAATAATTAACTAATAGAGAAAATAATTTAACAATTATAAAATAGAATCTGCTACTCTTGTAAATATATATAAATAATGTTTTAAAACCAGATTCTTAAAGCATAGTTTTATAAATAAATGTATATAATATTTTTCAAAATACAATTATATCTTTGATTTTGGTTTTATAAAAAATTATTGTTTTATCAATAACAGATTAATAATTATTATTTAACTGAATATGTAATTTTAAGAAGTATATGATATTTGGTTGTTCTAGTCTGATCCAATATTTTATTATTGGTATGATTTAATAAAATGGTAGCTTTTTGATAGAAAAGAACCTTTTAGATTTAGAAATGTAATTAATTTAAATAAGTCAAAACAAGTTGAGTTAAAAATTTTAAACTTTAGCTCAACTCAACTTAAACTAAATTCAAATTAATTTAACTTAGAACTGTAATTAATTTTAAAATATTTAACTAGTTAAAACTATTTATTAAAATAAATTTACATGAAGTTGCAACTTATCATAATAAAAAAATATTATATTTAATAAAATGACAAATCATTATTCTAAAGAAATAATAAATCAGTATTCTAAAAGAGCAATAAAAATATCATTTCAATAGAATGATAAAACATTGTTTTTTTTAGAATAATAAAAAAAGTATTCTTTTAAAAGAATCATTTTAACACAATAAAATATTATTTATATTTCTATAAAATTTGATGACTTGATTCAAAATTCAATTTAAGTTAAAAATTTGTTAACTAAAGTCATAATTTAATTTAAATTAAATGAGTCGAATTTTTTGGCTCAAACTTAACTTGGCTCATATAACTTATGAGTCAACTTGATTAAATAAGATTCGCAATTTTTAATTGTCATTTTTTTTTTTCACGGGTAAACAAAATTTTCACAAAGAAATCATATCACTAGTTTACGACCACGACAAAACCAGAAAAAATTTTTATTATACAAAAGAAATAAAAATAAAAGAGATCAGGTGACTAGTTCAAAAATCTAAAAATTTAGGAGAAAAGTTAAAAAGATTGGAAGACCATCCGAACATATGCACAGCCATACTAGCTGGGAATTTTGGGCGGAGGAAGGCTTGCTTATGAAAAATGTATAAAGTTAGCGTCTATTTGTCCCAATTCACGACACAAGAAATGTTAAATAAATTCGATATATACAAATGTGGCGAAGAAACATTCTTGTTGCGGTTAAGTACTTATTTTTATTTTCTTCAACAGAAAAATAAATAAATAAATATATTAAATATATAAAAAAGCCTAGAAGAGTCGGGCAATTACGCCTATTTTTGTTCTATTTTATTTATTATTATTATTATTTATAACGAAAATCTGCAAGTTTTCTAACGAGAAATGTTATTGATCGTGCGATTACCGTGCTTAGTTGTTACTTTACCGCTTTTAGATTAAACGATCAGCTGTTTATATTTTAAAATAAAACCAAATTTTATTTGGTAAGATGTGAAAATTTTCTATTTATAACGTTAATGAATAATTTTTTTTTGCTCGGGTTGTTTCTCGTACATGATTTTATTTTCTTTTTCATTCTCTATTATAGTTTTTCATATATGACAAATAATTTTATCATTCATCAATAATAATGGAAGAAATTCAAGAAAAGAAACATTCTTATGAAAAATTAACTTCACCTGGTAGTAGTAGTAATGATGATGTTCTTGATGAAAAGATGGTAGATACAATGATCGAAATACCACAAATTTCATCATTGCCATTTAAACAAGTAATAGATGCAGCTACATTTTCTCCAGATGGAAAGTTTTTAGCAACGTATGCTTCAAAGGAAGGGAAATTAGTAATATGGAAGGTATCGGATAAAAGATTTGAAGAAACGGTTGTAACTAGTCATAGACTCGAACCAATTTGGCATTCAAATCCAATGAAAACAGATTTAAAACCTCGAAACTATATGGAGGAAAGAGAAAGTTTCGCATCATCATTTACTCAAAAGATATTAATGACAAATATAGATTTTGCATTATCAAATGAAGGAAAATTTGTTGCTCTAAGTTTAGTAAAATTACCACAAGAAGGGAGACAATTAGCATTTGAACTAGTTCAACCTCCCCCAGATAAATACACCAAATTTTATACTTACATAGTTAGAACAGCACTCGATAGACCAGTATTTCGTAAGTCTTTAATGAAATTAACTGGAACGATCAAATTTACTGAAGATAATAAATCATTTATTATTAGTAATATTGAACATAATAATTTTGATCCGCAAAATGAAGAAAATAATTGTATTTTTGTTATTTCAACTAATCATTGGAAGGTTCAGCACAAACTTATAATCGACACTTTTTCTGAAACTCTGCAAGTTATCCCTCATCCTTGGTCACAAATGAAAATTGTTAAAAATTCACTTCTACCAGGACATTTTATTTTTGTCGAACAGGTATGATTCAAAAGGTTTAGTTATAAACTAAGTAGTAATATTTTTAAACAATAGTTTAATTTTTTTTTTTTTTTTTAAAAAAAAAAAAATTATTTGAATAGTGGGATACAGCCTTGTTGTGGTCGTTAACAACTGGACAATTAGTTTCGCGTTTCAAGTGTTTAGCAAAGGATTCATTTCTTGATGCAGATTCTTCACCAACATTATTCGCGTTATCTCATGATCAACAAATGTTGGCAACATGGACGTCAAAAGGTGTCTTGACAATTTATTTATGTGAAGGGGGTCTTACATTTGCATCATCATTACATAACGATGACAAAAAAGAAAATTCATTAGATGTTGATAGTAACGTAAGTAGAAAAGAAATTTTTTGGTTAGAAGGTGATGAGCATATAATAACAATTAATTCAACTGGAAAAAATTCAACAGATAATTGTGTGCAAATATGGGATATTTATACTTGTGAACCTGTTAGTAGATTTGATAATATAGATCCTACTTGCTTATTTGCACCAAACGGAAAAGATATTTATGTCACTTTCAAAAATGATTTACCAAGGTTAAATAGAATCAAATCTCCAAAATCTTATCATATACAAAATGATATTTCAAAGCAACAAATGATTGGTAGACATCATTTTTTAGCATTAGGTTTCAATAAAATTTATCAATACGACAATAGTAAAGTATTATTGTTTGAATATTCTCCCGGTCGTCAAAATGAATCGATTTTAAGCGATGACCATCCAATTGTGAAATTACGTATCGAACCTTGGCTAATTTACTCACCTATTAAATCTGGATTTTGTTTGGATCCAGATATGAAAAGAGTTTTGTTTATTGGTCATTATACTGTACAAATTTGGATTTTTAATGATGCAACCCCACGTTTACAATATATTTGGTGTCGTCCCATGAGGGTATATATATTTCTAAATCACATTTGAAATTTTTTTGTGCATCATTTCTTTTTAATTAATTTTAACTTATTATTAGGATAAATTGAGACAATCTCTTAAGACAACATATGCCACCATTGAAAATGCTACTCTTCGAAAAAGTCAAGATGGTAGATATACGTTGGAACTTCGATGTCAAGTAAATGACCAAGATCAAATTGGATTTTCAAAGTAATCTCGATTTCTAAATGGTTTCTTTTTTTTTAAAAGAAAAACTATACCTTTTAATTACTTTTTCTTTCCTTTTCTCTTAACAATAGAGTAAATCATGATCATCCTTCAGATCATACCATTGGTAATGTACCTCCTGGAGCAATGGCAATCACTAGATTAGAATCTAAAAATCAATTCAAATTTGATCTATTATTACCAAATGACAATGAATTTGGCACGTATAGTATTGTATCAAATGCTTCAAAATCTTTAGGGTTTTTAGCTTATGCTGAAAGATTAAATTGGATTCAAATTAGTTCTGGAAATGTATATCCTTATTTTAGAACTTTACTCACACAGTGTCAGTCGATAGTTTCCGATGCAATACACAAAAATCCGCATGTATTCAATCAAATAGTCGAAGGTCAATCACCATTGGAGATATTAATAAAAGCAGATTGTTCATATGCCGATAAATTGATCAAGGAACATTTAAAAACGGACAAACATATACCAAGGTTTCATGATGTTGATAGAACAAAATCTGCATTGGCAAGGGCAATCAGTCTTGGTAAAACCGAAGTTGTACATTCTTTATTAAAATATTATTGTAGAAGATGTGAAGAAAATCCTGTATCATGGACTATAACAGTTGTACCGGCCTTTGCTTCTTTAAGAACAGTTTATCCTGATTTTGCATTAGAATTTGTGAGAAGAATAAGTTATTTACCCGTTAGAGATGATATTGTTAGAACGGATCATCAAGATATTTATTCTTATGCAAAGATTGAAGAATTAGAATATGAATCTAAAGAGAATATGTGGCAAAGAATAATGACATTGTGGTCAAAAGGTGAAAGGGAATTTGATAGACAAGTGGAAACTGCGACCGAATTTGTTAGGATACCACATAAAACGCATGCAGCTAGAGAATGCGTTGTACCATTACCAGACTTTACAGTATATAAACCTGCACCAAAAAGTATACAAAAACCTGTTGAGACAAGTAGAGTACCGATTTTACGTTTAATTATAAATTATTTATTATATCGTAAAAACCGTTCACCTTTTATTAAAGAAGTGTTGTCGGGTAGATATGAAATGTTTGGTGAACCTGCCATGGAAGCTGTGATTAATTTTAAATGGAGAAAATTTGCTCAATGGAGGGCATTTTTGATGTTAGCAATCTATGCGTTTTATGCAAGTGCGTTTTTGATTGGGGTGTCAATGAAAGAAGGTTCTTATCCATTGATAAGACAAGTCGCCATGTTGATTGTATTAGCTGTCGGCTCTGGATATTTCGGATTAGAGCTAATGCAAATGATGGGACAATTAGAAAGTTATTGGTTTAGTCCTTATAATTGGTTAGATTTGGCTCGTAGCGTATTTCCTATGGTTGTTGCTGAACAATACTTGAGAGGTGTTGACCCTTCCCCTGGAATACGCGGTACCGCGATGATGTTCGTTTATGTAAACCTGGTAAGTTCATTGCATGCACTTTGTCTAAATACTTTTGACACTGATTAACATTTATATATATATTGTTTTTAGATATTGCATTTTAGAGTGTTCAGAGCTATTGGAATACCAATCTTTATAATATTTCAGATATTTAAAAAGGTTTGGTGGACACTCGTAATAATAGGCATAATGGTTTTGTCTTTTGCACATATATTACATATCTTATTGAGAGAAAATTCGGATGGCGCGTTTGGTAATTATTTTACATCCCTGATATCTGTTTATTTCTTTTTGGTAAGTGATAATTATATTTAATTTTTAGTCTTTACTTTATTTATTTATTTATTTTACACGATGATTTTTTATTAATCCTTCACTCCTTCCTTTTTCCGTTTGAAAGGTTGGAGAATATTCATCAATTGATAATATAAAAGGAAGAGACATGGTTATAATGATAGTGGTATTCTCTTTTTTTACTACTATAATATTATTAAATATATTGATCGCTCTTATGTCGGACGTGGTAAATGAAACAAAACTCAGTGGTAAACAAGTTTGGCTTAAGCAAAAAGCCGAGGTAATTTACCCCTTCTCCTCTTTTTTTCTTTATAATCAGTTCAATTGATAAAATTTGTTAAAATTGACGAGCATTTTATTCATAATATATTTATATGTACATTTCAATGAACGAACGATAGGTCATTGCGGAAATTGAAATGTATATATTCACACCAGGACAGAGGAAAAGAAAGGATTACTTTCCTTCGTTAATTTATTATATCGCAAGTCCTGATGAAATAAAATCATACAAGAAAAAAGGTAAAGATGATGACACTTGGGAAAGCGATGATGATGGTGATGATGGTGATAAAGAAGAATTACACGAGGTAAGGTCTAATAACGGATTATTATTTGGACAAATTTATGTAAACCTTCTAACACAACATTTTTAATGATTTATTAGAAAATTCATCCATTCCAAAAACCTGAAGGGTATGATTACATTTCTGATGTTAAAAGGTCATCAACTCAAAAACTTAAAAGAGGTCATACCCTTAAATTATTTAATAAATTTGAACCCGTCGAATAATTATTTTATTGATTTAGAGAATTTTTGTTATTATTATTAAATCTTTTTGCAGCTAAAACATTAGATGAATTCGATATATTTATTTATTTTAATCTAATGGTTCCAGAATTCTTATCATAAATATACTTATTTTATTAATTTATTTTTGTAAAAATGAAGTTGCAATGTCTTTTTTAATAGGAAAAAAAAATGAAACTTTTGTACAAATTCTTAAAATTTTTAAATATAAATACAATTGAAGAAAAAATTGTTGATACAATTGAATAAGATTGATTTTGAATTTCACGCGTTTTCTTTTCCTTTTTTTTTATAAAAAGGAAAAAAAAAAATGCTTCCTCCTACATAGTCTATACAGTATCTTATTTAAACAATAAAGTTGGAAGATGGTTAAAATTAAATGAAAAATGTCCATCTCTTTCGAGAATTTTATTTTTTAGGAAATTTTTTTTTTTTTTTTTTTTTTTTTTTTTAGGAGAAAGGTAGACTTTGGTTATTGTTTATTCATTCTCGTTGTCAGTATAAAAATCTTCCACGTCATAGAAAACTAAAAAATAAGAAAATGAATAAATACTTAATAAAAAAAAAAGTTCGTTTAATAAAATCACGAAGAATCGACAAACGATTTACCTTCATTCGTATGTTTATGTTGAATATTTGTCAATTTTTGTGACAAGGCTCTCGCATTCATTGCGGCATGAAGATCCAGTAAAGATTTTCGTACATTCACCCAGTCATAAGTCACACCTACAAAAACTAAGAATGAGAGAAAGGAAAATAGCAAAAGTCTTTTCAAGAAGACAATCTACGTTGAAAGTACAAATTAGTTAGTCTTATTTGATAGTAATTTTTCTTAAAAAAAAAAAAATTTAAAAAAAAAACCTCTGCAACTAGTAAGTGAACATTTGAAGTAAGGTCCTTTAATTCCCCCTCAATCCTACTTTGATTAGTATGAAATTCGGAGAAAGTTATTTTAAGCAATTGTTCATATTGATTTTTCTAAAGAAAAAATAAATATAAGTTGTTGTATCATTGCTTTTAAAAAGTAAATGTGATCATTGAGAGTTACTTAAATAATACACACCAAACTCTCCACTGTACCAGTGAAATGATTCATAATTGAAGCAATTTTCTCCGAATGAGAGCTAACCTTACCAAAAACTTCTCTCAACAATTTACTTTGCTCTTCAATATGTCGCTTGTTAATAGTTGCGTCCAATTCAAGAGTTAGAATACGTTTAAACAAAAACATATATGAACTTTGATTTGGCCCACCGGTTGGTAAATTATTTTTATTATTGTAATCGGGTTTAATTTGCTTTGGTTGAACTGGTAAAGGTTTTTTTATCGCATTGCCACTTTTGCGAGATTTGCTATTTGGAACGATGATATCAATATAATTGTCAGACAAGAGATCAGTTTCTGTTACAACAATAGGGCATTGATCAATATGACAAATTCGAGGATGTATTATAAGTGAGTTATCCTGATATATCTTAATCGGAAATGAATATCGCCGATTTAAAGGATCAACCCTAGGACAAAATCCATGTTCAAAAACGTTAATGTTCTTGAGTGGTGATTTTAGAGCATCCACGTCTCGGTTATGTGACTTTGTGATTTTATTATTAATCGCCGAACGAGATTGTTTTCGTTGCAATGTACCATTTTCAGCTTTAAAATGTTCTGAATCCGTTTGAGTATCTTCCGATAATTTGTCTAAATCGTCTGATTCAATAGAAGGTTCTAATATGTCAATAGACTCGACATTCAGTAGATTTTCTTCTTGTGATGTTGATTGGGCAATTCCATCTTGCTCTTGCTCTTTATTCCACATATCCGTCTCACTATTTCCATGTACACGAAGTAAACTAATTGGACAATAATGATTATGTCCATAATGCGTCTGAAAATCAATACGAAGATATTTTACGAACATAATAGGATCTTTCACATTGAAAATCTGTTTAAAATAAAAAAATTAATAAACCAATATACGAATGAAGGTTGAATCATGAAGCCTCTTACACTTGACCAACCTGCAATTCCCTAGAATTCTTTGCACGATATTCACCAATGACTTTCCAGTCTTCCTTTGGTGGATACCATTTACTTATAGACACTCGAAAGTTTTTAAAAGTAGAAGAAAAAAATTCGAAATTTGCTAACACTATAGTATCCACAAGAATTGGATAGCATAATTCCACAATAAAATGTTTTTCTACTAAACACTTGTTGAGCACATAAGAGTCTTTACTTTCAGATAAGATGGCCGAGGTACCTTTGGCTTCTTTATTTGCCTTTAACACATTAGCCCCACAATCAATCGAAGCATAATTAAAACGTTCTTTCAATTTTGACAAATCCGAAGAATCATATTCCGAAATTAACCCACGAGGAGAATCAGTATTTTCGAAAACGGCACCAATATCACCCTCCTCGTCTATTGATTCCATGGTTTGTGAATCCTTTGCATTTTTATTGATTCGCTTCTTTTTCCTTTTTTGATCCGAAGATTCACGATTCTCTTTATTGTTCTTATTATTGTTCTTGTTAAACTTTTTACCGATGGATAGTATATCTGAGGATTTTGAAGCAATACTGTTCGATGTATGTGAAGGTTGATTTGAATTTTCCGTTCGATGCTTTTTTCTGTTCAAGTTTTGTTGTTTCCTGCTGTGATTATGTATTTTTTGATCGTTTGTGGCGGTATTAACAACTGAAGGTATCGTTGGCTCATTAAAACTTTTCATTTCACCAACTAGAAAATTCTGACAATGTGAGCTTGTCCAGATCAATTTATTTAAGGAAGGTACAGCTGGTGATTCGCCGATATTATTTATCATTGAAGCAGGTTCCATTGTTCGAGTGGGAGCAAAGAATGGACCAAATGACATAATTATAAAGTTTATAGTAGATAAGAATCCATTCCAATACATAATTTTTCTTTAAAGAAAAAAAAATCGTGAATTAGTCAGTCCTATTGTTAAAAGTGATGAATTTTTTTTTTAATTAAAAAAAAAAAAAATGTAAAAGAGATTAGATAATTTTTTTATTTGTAAAAAGTACATAAATGGCGAAGGTTAAAAAAAACCAAGGTACCAAAATAACGCCACAGATGATTAATTATGTCACAATGATTAAACTTTCCCACACTTCTGCAAAAGGATAAAATAGATAACCTAAGATAATAAAATGTTCAAGATATGGGAAGGAATGAATAAATCTGCGGAGAAAGAAAAAAAAGAAATCCAAATTTTTGCAGGTCGTATTTATATTATAAATTATGGAAAAAAATAATTAAATATTTATATGTAATAGAGATTTCGGCATGTGGAATTACTATACACGTAATACCCTTATGTATCATAATACTGTATAATACTGTAATAACTGGTGATCCTAATTGGTGTGCTGTTCATTCTTTGAGACGCTTTTTTTTTTTTGCCAATCACGATTTAATTCTTCGGACGAATCCAGTAACCATCAAGGTTATCAAGAAAATTCACTACAGATCCTTAATATTTAAACCGATAGAATTTTTACACACGGAACAGATTAAGGTTCGTCTCCCTGATAAATAAATGATGAAATACACATGGCAAATTCCCCGACCCGGGGCATTTTATGTGTTTTGGAAATTTTAACACATATTTATTTTGTCGATATCCAAAAAAAAACCATAATCCTTCTCCGCCTCCCAAAACATATTTCGGTATTAATAAAGATTGATGATTGATTAAACCATATATATTTTAGATCGACGATTGATTTACCTAAATTTGGTTACGTTGAAATAGGATTTTGTTATAAATGATCAAAAAATTTTTCTCCGAATCTTTTTCGAACACAAAAAATAATGGTGATTATTAGCAAAGTCGTTAACAATACTAGATATGCTGTATTTCGTGCTTATAAACAATTGTTGAAGGTCCAAAGAGAAACATTTAATGGTATGTTGATAGCAATTAATGTGATATTATTTTGTTTAATTTTTATTAATTATACTTTATTAAAAAAGAGGATACTTATACTATAAAAGGTATTTGATTTTCTTTTGGTTTAAAAAGAGTAAAGTAGGGTTTTTATTCGTATTTCTAGATGAATTTATATGTTGCTTAGAGGCAAAACGTAAGACACGTGAAGAATTTTTAAAAAACAAAGATGAAATTGATACAAATAAAATACAAGAGGTTAGAATTTAAAAAAAATTAATTTTTTTCATTTTTCAAAATTAAATTAAATTAAATGTGATTGTTCAGTGTATAAATCAAGCTAATGATGTAGCATCTTTATTACAAAAAAATGTTGCTCAAGCTGAGATTGAAAATCCCTCCGAACATATATTTAGTAAGTTCTTGAATTCATTGTAACTCTTTTTAAAAAGTAATAATTGTTGTATATATATTTCTTATTTTATATTTTAGAAATAAAGTTACACGAAAGACATGAATTGGGAGATAATAAATCAATAAAAAATCCTCCATCTAAAACCTTGAAAAGGCAAATGGTGGGAAATTGTGGTTAATTTATCTGACTGTAAATTAATTTATATATAAAAAAGTATATTAAAATTACAAATAAAAAAATAAAAAACGAATTCCTCAATAAATATTTTAGTCATATGATTAGCACGTGATTTACCTAGAACACGTATTTTCATTTCCCATGACCATATCTCATCACTTCAGTTTGTTTCAAAAATGACTCAACATTCAACCGACTCATTAAATCTCGCTCATGATTTGATTAACATCTCAAAGACTGGAGAATTCGCCGACGTCGTTATAAGAGTAGGAGAGGATCGTGGTGAATTGAATACCAAAAATTTTCTGGTTCACTCGATAGTATTAAGTGCGCGTTCAAAATGGTTTCGCGCTGCCCTTATCTGAAGCTTGGCATCAAACAAAAAAAGATAACATGATCTTGTTATCCAAACCAAATATTCAACCTCGAGTATATTTATGGTGGAGAATGATTCAAAGAATTTAAGTTGCAGAATTGATTGAAATTCTTAGAGCGGACGATGAACTTGGCTTGTTGGAACTGATAAAATTCATAGAATTTTACCTCAAAGATAATCCCGACCTTATTTGTTCCAACATCGTTTTTAAGAGTTCTCAATCAGAATGATGGTTTTCGCATGTTACATTTCTATTGTAGATATATAATGGAACAAAACCCTTCCTTGTTTTTTCTAGACGAAAACTTTGCTATTAATATGAGCAAAGAAACAATGATAACTTTACTAAGAATGTCAACTTGATGATGAATGAGCTTAATGTCTGGAATAATGGGGAATTAAACAAGTCATAATAAATAATTCTCAACAAGATCAATATGATACTTTAGAAGTATAATTAAATCTTTCACCAATGAAGATTTCATTAAATTTGCGGAACTTGTTCAACCTTGCATTTTTCTCATTAACTTTGTAGATTTCACTTCCTTGGACTATGAACAACTTGTTAGGCCTTTATCGGTAGAAATGATTTGAGCAGGATCAGAAGATTAATTTTCACGAAAGATGATGAAATCTTGGTTAAATTTTCAGAATTGCTTAACCCTGAACGAGCTGCTTGTCTTTCAATTATTATATCCAACATGTATAACAATTTAGAATCTATCGGACTATGTGAATTCAACCTGCTATTAAGAGGGAGTCGAGATGGTATGACTGTGAATAGTTTCACATCGAGGTGTTGTGGTAAAGATTCAACTATTATTTTTTAGCAAAAGACAAATATAATAATCGAATTTATGGAGCGTACAATGCGAATAGATAGATCATCCTTTTTATCATGATAAAATAGATGAAATTTGGGCGAGAAAATTAAATGAAAAAAGTTTCATCTTTCAATATCATGATTTTGAATTTGAAAAATCACTTTCAAACGGGCTTCCCTCATGGACCAAAGATTATAATATACTGAATATTAATTTTGGAATAGGTTTTGATTACATTGTTATAAAAGGTTGGAAAATGAACAATTTTTACGAATTAGATGAAATAGAAATTTTTCAAGTTAACAGAAGGAGTAATTTTTGAGAACATGTAACGGCAAATCTTTTTTTGTCAAAAAAAAAAAACTGTTTTTGTATCTTTTAAAAGTATATCTCAAGCATTTTAATATCAAAGGCTTTGAAGCACAGTGTTAACTGTCTATTTTTGGACGCTTATCACGCGTTTTTACGTGTCTATCTAAAATAAGAAGTTTAAAAAATTTAATTTTTCTTGAATTTCAAATAATCACTATTTTCAATATTAAGCGCCAAATTTACTTTTTTAAATAATCACGTGATCCCGACCAGCATTAAGAAATATTATTATAATTCCAACCAAAATTCGAAAATTAAAACTTTATTAAATATCTTGAAGTATATTATTAGGAATTATATGATGCCTTTTATACTTTTTAACAGCATATTCCGCTTGCTTTACATTTAATTCCTTCCTATATGCATTCATATATCTATAAGATTTAATAGTAAATGCTTTTATTTCTAATAAAGAAACATGATTTAATGTAATAGGAACAACTTGTTGTAATCCGTTCTATATATAGTCACAATTATCTCTTGAATAACATTTCACAGCTCTCCAATACATTTCAATATAATTAAGTTCACAGTGAAATTTCAGATAAAAAATTACCTTATGATCTTTGCTTTTAATAATTTCTTGAATCATGTATTTTTGAGCAAGAAAATCAGGCTGATTTTCTAATATATGGGAGGTTTGCTAGGAAAATGGGGCTCTGGGGCCAAAAATTTTTTTTGAATAAATTAAAAAAATCAAAATAAACAAAAAAACTAGCTTTAAATTTGAGGCGATCTATTTTTAGATCAGGTGATCTACAGTAGCTTCCAAAAGAAACGCAAGTAGAGTTGCTTGACTTTAAAAGCTTATAACTCATCAACCACGAATGCTAGAAACATGATTTTGTATTTAATTTAATGCTCAAAGCCTAGATAATATCCAGTAAAAATTTGAAGTGTAATTATTAAGACCAATTTTGCGCAATTTAGCGATCTATATCAAATTGTTTTACTTAATGAAATTTAAGTGTAGAAATTTTTTTTAGCAGGCCGGTTACTAAAAAACCGATACTGGATTCCGATTCTTCTCAGTGCGGCGATTTTAACAGATACTCTTTTTCACTTCAATATGACCACCACTAGACAAACGAAAAATTTAAACAAAAATACACAAAACAAAAATACTTTTATTGAACTTTTTACTTCAAACGCTCAAAATACTTCACTTCAAACACCTGCTACCTCTTTAACGAAAAACCCAAACAACTTTGATACTGAAACCCCAAACAAACGAAAAAAAAATTTCTTCTTCTTCTCCAAATAATTTAGAAAACATTATTGAAAATATTATTTTTACTCCTTCCAACAATCAAACTATTGACTCAATTACAACAGTTATTACCTCACAAGTCTTAAACAAAAATAAAGAAGACTCCGTTATGGAAATAGACAACCCGCAATCTCTTGTTTTAATTGACCAAAATACCAACGACTCTATGTACGCTACCTCCTCAAATTCTACCTCTCCTCCTATCTCAAATAATATAGATACACAAACTTCTGACACCAAGGGAATAAAAAAAGTAACCTGAGACAAAGACTTTGAACCTTATGAACAATACATCGCTGATAAAAATGATGACGTCAACAACGAATCTTTTACTATCATCACATCACCAATGCGTTTTTACGCGTCAACAGATACAAAGGATGTCACTGGTTCCTCAATTGCAGAAAAACGTTACACGATCAACAAACTTTTCAGCTACTTTGAAGGATATAGGGGGCTGTACTACAATACTAGACAAAGGAAATTCTATATTTATTTTTATACATTAGACTCCCTAACACAAGCAACCGATAAAGTTAGAGAAACTCAACACAACCCAATTTTTTTAGTAATTGATTCTAATGCCAAACAACAACGCAAAGATAATGAAAAAGGTAGATGCATCAAAGTCAATGATATTCCCTTATTTGTAAAATCAGACATTGTACGAAATGTTTTCGAAAAATATGGAAGGATCTGCAGATTTTCAATAATCACTAGAGGTCCTTGACAAATTGCTTTCATTGTATATGAATCACCTGACTCCATTCAACAATTTTATGATACCACTTGGTCTATCTTATTAATGGAATTTTCAGTTAGAATTGAACCTACAGATATTAATGAAATTCAAACTGCTCTTCGCCAACAATTTGAACTTAAACTCACTGGACTTCCCTTTAACACCACTCAATTAGATCTCTCTGATTTTTTGACCCAGATCAAAGCAAAATCATGTTTTATTCCAAGAGACTGATAGTATCGTCTCAGACTATATGCATATATTAACTTTGATAATATTGATGATTATAATAACGCTTTTAACTCACAACAAAAATTCAAAAATCACATCTTATTTTGGGTTACTCCTGGAATCCAACATTGTAACTCATTTAATTCTTCAGATCACGAGGTCCAATCATGTGACAATCGCTCTCGTCCCAATTTGTTTAAACCTCTTTATGATAGATTTAAACCAGCCCAATACAGACCTAAACCTTTTATACCTAAACCTAGCTTTTCACATAATTATGAGTCAAATAATCAATCCAAAAGATCCTCTCATTATGATTCTATTCAAAACAGTAATAATAATCAAATGAACTATTCGGGCAAACAAAAGCAAACCCCTCCTCCAACTGTTGCCTCTGCTATTAAATCTATGATGAAACAATTGATCTCTTTAGAAAATAAATTCTAATCACTGGAAGATGAATTAATCAAAACACAGAATGCGTGCGTTAAATTAAAACAAATCCAACTTCATATCATCAACCGGGTCGAGACCATTGAAAATCAACTTTACATCAACAGTTCAACCCCATTCAATAATACAACATCATATGATTTTGCTCCCAATGAAAATGATTATTCCTCTCAAACGAATTCATTCCTGTTCAAAATCGTTCCTCCATTTTACCACATTCTTCATCTACATCACGTGACCAAATGATTAACCAACAAGAAAGACAAATTTCAATATTACAAAATAACTTCAGTGATGCCAAAAATGATCTCAAAATTATGAAAAACGCTATGATGTAATTTTTACAAACACATTCTAATACTTCCCAATGAATACTTCACAATAATCAAATATATCTCTCTTTCACAGGCTAAGTAAAGAGAATAACATTTTTAAAATAGCATCTCATAATGTTAGAAACTGTATTTCAAATGAAAAAAGAAATCAAATTGAACAATTTTTTTCACTTCATAACTTTGACATTCTCGGTCTTTCTGAAACTCATCTGACTATGCAACAATCTTATTCTATTTGCAATAAATTCAAATCATCTGATCTTCCATTCAAATATTTTTTATTAAACAAAAATCGCTCCCAAAATTGTCAAAGTGTAGGTTTTATTGTCAACTCCTCTATTTCTAAACATATTTTTAATTATCAAGGCTTTTACGATAGAATTATTTTCATAGACCTTCAAATGAAAAACAAACAAAAACTCTGAATAATTCAAATTTACCTTCCTTCTAATACACTCACTGCTGCTGATCATCAACATAGACTTAAAATACAACAAAAAATTCTCAATCTAATTTTAGAAGCCAAATCAAAAAATTATCACCATATTGTTATGGGTGATTTTAACATTAACATAAAATGCAAATACTCTTTATCAAGACAAAAAAAATACCAATACTTCCTCACTCAACTTGAAAATCTTGGCTTAATGAACAATTTAAAAATCTTCAATCAATTCTACCCATCAACCTTTTTTTCTTCAAACTCTTCTACTTCCCTTGATTACCTTTTCTCCTCTTTCTCCCTCACTCATGATCTTACTT